CCCCCCCCACCCCCCCCCAGTAGACTAGTGACTTCGGTTAGTGCGATTGATTCTGACTATTTGTGGAACTTATTTTACATTACATTCTTTTCCTGTGGAGACCTTTTTACTGTTGGTAAATTATTGTACTAGACACTAGAGGACCTCACACACACACAGAGGAAGGGCTGTGATTAGAGCCATACCATTAGAGGAACATTGATACAGATGGTTTGAAAATCTGGAGATGAGCTTTTTGCTTTTTTTTGAATAAAATATTTAAGAAAATACTGCTGTGTATATCTCATTGGGTACTTTCATTCTAGTATGTCGTGTAAAAGTTAGGGTTAGTAATACATGAAGACAGCTGTTGGTGTGCACACAACAGGAAGAAACTGAAGTTTGTCCACAACATGTTTAGTCTGGACGATTTCAACATTTAAAAAGCACAACACATGGTTCATACTGACTAAAAGTAATCCAGTTTATTACCAAAGCATCATATATGCAAACACCAGGTGAAAACACAAAGAGGAAATGAAGGTTAGCTCGTCCTCAAGTAGTTAAATATGTATGCAAAACAAAAAACAAAGAATATTTGACATCATAAATGTGCATCTCTCTGTATGTCTGTTAAAACAGCTGGTACCTTATGTATTGAATTATCGTCTAGATGAACAGCAGCAAAACACATGTTTGCATTCATTGAAGGCGAGCACTGGTACTGTCCTTAGCAGTGAATAAAACAACTGAAAACAATATTTAGAAACAGCTTAGATTGTGGTACAGTGAATCAATATATAAGAATGTCTATGGACCTTTAATGGCTATACTCATAATGGCTTCCTTTAAATTAACAGCTTTGAGCATTTATTCAGAAATAGTACCATTTATAAAAAGCCACTCAGCTGGTCTTTGGTCTGCTGACCCTGACCCCAAAACAACCACACAGATGTCTCCTTGCAGCTGTTGCTCTTCCTATTCTCTAGGAGCGGTGGTATGAGTACCTTTTCTTGTTTTACGTCCATCAAATCTCAATTTGTAAACAAAACTCTCTGTATTTTGAGGTTGCCAATTCCTCTGTGAGTTCAAAACATGCGTCAGTGTTCGTGAAACTCAAACGCCGGGTTATCTTTCCCCCCGGCAGCCCCCCTGCTGCCAGTCACTGTTTCTGCACGATTTGCTGACCTCCCAGGCAACCTGTAGGTGCAGAAAATAATCCCGGAGACAATCATAAAGCTCGTCCCAACCAGTCCCACCCAGATGCCCTTCCCAACATGTTGAGAGTCAGGAGTCGGGGGTAGTTTAAACTCTGGGGGGAACGTTATAGTCTGATTGGTCACCACAGAGTTCAGGTTCCACAGCAGAGGAGTGAGGGACATGCTGGCGGCCATCAGGCACAGAACGCCACTTGTGAGGAACGTCAAGCGGATAGGCGAGTTCTTCCCCATCCCAAAATACACGTTCCTCAAGGTGTAGACTCCCCCAGCGTTCCCACAGAGCCCCACCAGCAGAGACAGCAGCATGAGGACCTGCCCTGCCACTATCTCTGGAGGGGTGAAGTCCTCCATCAAGCTGATGAACCTGCAGTGCATCACTCTGTATCCAGGCGTCACCAGGGTGTGGCTGTTGAAACACGCCCGAAAAACGCCCACCCACGCCACCCCGGAGCTGATGACCTCCCTGTCTGACACCAGCCAGACCCTCCACTGGATGAGGCCAAGGGACACGGCGGTGAGCGTGCATCCAACGCAGGAGAGCCACAGGGCGAGGAGCTGGGAGTGGCCGGTGTGAGCCAGGTAGGGCATGGTGGAGGAGAGGTGGAGGAGGGGTGGGGGAGAGGTGGAGGAGGGGTGGAGGAGAGGTGGAGGAGGGGGAGAGGTGGAGGAGAGGTGGAGGAGAGGTGGAGGAAGGGTGGAGAGGAAGTGGAGGAGGGGTGGAGGTGGAGTCAGGTGACAGAGAACACGCTGGGCTTCATCTGGTCCTTCCTCCCTGCTGCGGTCAAACTGCCACACGGCCCTGATCGACCAATAAAGAGTCAAAATCATTGTTTCAATGGTTTGAATGTTTTTGCACTATTTAATAAAACAGAACAGAAACAGATGATTAACAGTGCTGTGCGGGAAGATGCAAAAAACCTATTGGGCTTTAAAGCCATAAATCAAAAGATCAGGAAACAAACAAAGGGTTAACATGTATACAAATAGCAAACATTAAGAACCACATATGCTATACAAATTGTAAAGTGCATTAACACTTCCTGTAAATATAAAAACTCTTGCGCAATATCCTCCTTTGTGATTGTGATGAAATGCCACCTTTCACTCAGAGAGAGAAGTGTTTCTGCGTGGCGGCAGCGCTTCCTCTTTCGTACCTTTTCTCTGATGCTCGGGTGTCACCTGGGTTACCTGGCAAACAACCAGCTCCCTGTGAGAGGACAGAAACACAGGTGAGACTTTATGGAGTTCAGAGCTCCAACAATTAATCACCGATAACACATCAACGATTATGATAAAAGAAACATTTTTTAAGTGATATACGTGAAAGCAGCCCCCGAGGAGAGGTCCTGCTTTTCTGTTTTAAATCAGAAAAGTAAACATTTTTTTGTTTCCTACCCACAAACCACACATTTAGAGACATCACCTGGAACTTCTCTACTATTTCGGACATTTTACTGAAACTACCAATCGATTAATCTAAGAAATAATCATTCGGACAGCCAGATGAGAGTCATGGTGACATGTTCCTCATGCTTTCTATAATCAGGTGGAGCCAGTCCAACCAGTTTCTTCACTTCAACATGTCAATAATTATATAAAAGAAAAATCATTATTATCCATCTTAGAATACAGATGTTACGCTAACTTCAAAACAAAAGGATAAAACTCAGGCCTAAGCTGAGCAGGCTGTGAACCCCGTAGGAGGAAAGCACGTTTGTTAGACTTGACTCAGACGGCACGTTTAAAGTAATACTCGTAATGTTTGTGTCTCACCTGGGGGTCGTTCTGCTCCTCGTGCCGCCTCCAGTGCCTTAGTCTGGATAACACAGAGTGACACTTCCTCACCCTGCTACACATAACCTAGATACAGTTCCTGTCATGTAGTGAAACAGAGAGTAGATCATTGACAGCATATTGATATGCTCAGATGGAGAGGAAGGGGGTGTGTGTGTCATCTAGTTTGAGCCTATTACGTTTCTTTTTATTGCACGTGTCTTTTATTTTGACTATAGGTAAAAAAAAGAGGCATTTTTTAAGATTTTTCTGAAATAATTTTGATTGTTTGAGAAAGGAGCTAATTATCAAAAGGTACAATTATGATCTCGTTAAGTTGACTCAAACAGGTTTATTTGTTGTTAAACCAACCGGAGTAATGTTGACTTACAGGTTAAATACAAACATGGGTTTAGAAGTAAAAGAAAAAAGTATTTTTTATATTTATTTACTCAGCTAAGCAGGTTTTTCCTTACAAATATATGACCTTTTACGGCAGCAGATGTCCACACTTGTCCTATTTACCTCAATCAAATGTTAACCCAGTGCTTCAGAGGGATATTTATGTAGGGTAAGTGACGGCTATGTCGGGAAAAGTGTAATAAAACCTGAGAAAGTCAGACATCCAGCGATTGCCATAAAGAGGATTGGCAGAGGAAATGTTTTCTCACCCTCTTTTTCCAAATAAACTCCCCAGCAGGCGCAGTAAAAAGTCCAAAGTGGAAACAGGCAGTAAAACGTTGAGCAACAGATTGAAAAAACGTCATTAGAGATTGTAAACAAAATCCCCAGATAGCCTTGTGATTTGTTGCAGGGAAAAGATAAGCCCTTAAGTCGTTTACTGTGATCCATATGAACTCTCCGTTATCATGTTACCTCCCCCCACTCGTCGAGAGGGCCCACACTCAGTGCTTCTCGAAGGTTGAAGCAGAATCGATCAATAATGGGACACTTTTTTAGAGATATGACAATATCTGCAATACGGGCAGAAAAAGCTCTTGGCATTCAGATAATGCTTTCTTAGATCCTCGGGGGAATGCTGAGCCTTTAGGAAACAATCAGTATTTTTGAACATTTGAATTATATGCATATTAATACATCAAGTCTATTGTATATATGTATAGTTAACAGTCACATTTCCACTTTGGGACTCATTTGATTGTTGATATTTGGAGTTAAAATGAGCTTTTCTTGGTATTTCAAATCGTCCCAGCCCGGCTTTTAGACAGGGACCTAAACAGGAGTACACTTTATACCAAATTAAGATAATATCAAGCAAAGCAAAGAGGTTAGATGAATCTAAAAAGAATAGCAGATAACTTAAAGTGTTAAATAATTGAAACGTGATTTCTATGTTGAAATATGTTGAAGCAACGGCTGTTCGTCATCGGGTAAAACTGTTTCCATGCGGACTATGAAAGTGAAATATAAAACTGACGTCACTTATAATAAAACAATTCAGAAGAGATCACCATGTGTCACAGCTTTATTATTTTATTGCTTGAAGTTGGTGAAAGGTGCCCCTGTGTGGGCCGTCCTGCACGCCCACGTCAGTCCACGAGAGGCTACGGTAGGCACGTGTTCAAATAAATATGAATGTAGAGAGTCCTCCAAAGCAGAGCGTAAAGTGCTGTGTTTCTAAATGAACCTGAAGCTGAGCCTTCACTCGGAGAAAACAATAAATAAATCAGGTGGTTGTGAGGCCGTCGTCAAAGTGTTTGAGCGGGAGCTTCATCTGAACAACCACCCAGAATATAAGTCTAGAAAACAATCTGTACCGCTGGAAAAATCCAACATCGTCCAGTTTCTTTTTAAGCGTAAATCCAAAAGGTGTCACTCCAAAAAGAGAAGCCCGTCATGTGTGAAAGACATCGATCCTTTAAGAGTCAGACTCCGCACAAAGGGAGATACGGTTGGTCGGACAAGCAATCAAACATCATTTGGAAATCAAACTTCATTTCATTTTGTTAGAAAACAAAAAGTCACTGATACGTCACGAGTGAAAATAAATTACCGAAACAATAAAATAAATATAAAATGAAACTAAAATAAAACACACGTGATGGTTATTAATTACAAAAGGGAGACAGTGTAAGATAAAGGAGTAATGTATATCATTTGGTTTAGACATAAAAACATATGAACTGGATTTGTGTAATTATAATGAATTGTATTATTGAAGGTTTCCGGAGGATAAAGCCACAACTTGGGTATCTAAGTGTTTAAAACGTCTTAAATAGTTTTGGGTACTATCAGACTACATAGCTTTTTATTTATTATAACTTTAAAATGCTAAAAAGAACATGAATACCTTGACTTTGGGATACTAAAGATGTAAAAAATAAGTAAAAATGATAAAAATAGGAGGAAATCAATGATCTCTAGACTGAAAGTATTTGGAAATTAAGGGAGAATTCTCTGTATTTTGTATAAAATCTATTGAAACTTTGACGACACAATATGTGTGTGTTCTCGTCTGGTCTCTGTGCAAAATACTGTTTCCTCAAATCTCAATCAGTTATTGATCTAAATGACCTAAGTTAGTTCCTGAGGCTCCGTTAAAAACTAGAATATTCGATGGACAAAGAGCCGCATGGGAAATGTAGTCTTAATTGTGAAGAGCGTCAGAAACAAAGTCAACACGATGGAAGTTCACTCTCAGATGTAGACACGGATGCTTGGATCTGGATTTAGTGTTTCCTCTGCAGAGCTAGGAGTTGTTTCCAAACTGTCCATCTTGAAGTGAACTCTGACAGTTTCACAAAGTCAACACGATGGAAGTGCTACATGCAGCACGCTCAGCTGTAGACACGCTTGGATCTGGACTCAGGAGATGTTGTCAGGAGCTTCAGAGCACCGGCCTCTGGTCCAGCGGCAGACTGTCCAGCAGACACTTCAGCTGCTCCTCTCCCAGGTGGATCTTATCCTCCAGTTTTCTCTGCTCGATGATGAGCGCTGACTTCATCTTCACAAAGTGCCGGTAGTCGTCCAGGTTCTCCGCGTCCAGGTGCGTCTCCATGATGCTCGAGACCACCCTCTCCCTGCGGTCCAGGTTCTCCTTCAGCTCCTTGGCATCCTCGTGCTGCTGCATCAGCAACTTACGCTTCCTCGTTAGTGTCCGCTGGAGAGAGATGGATATTCATTTGTTGATCGAGCTTCAAAATGGATTTTTTAAAATACTTTTAAAATCTTAATCTGCTCTTAATTTGATTTCAAGTTAAAACAGAGGGTCTTTGTCTTTTTATTGAATATCTATAGCTTTGTAGATTAAATCCTCTGTGTTTTCACTTCGGTCTGTAATAAGTGTTTTTATTCATGTGTTACGTTTCTCCGTACTTTGTGATACATGTTCTTTATAAAGGTTCTGTAAATAAGGTTTGATTGATTGAAAGTACCGTAATTTTCGGACTATAAGGCGCACCTGAATATAAGCCGCAGCAGCTAAATTGAATGATGTGTACATATATAAGCCGCACTGGACTATAAGCCGCAGGTGTTTTAATGTTTCATTACCATATGTAAGGGTTCGTGCACAGAGGGGATTGTCGGGAAAGAGATGGCTGTTTGAGGAAGCTCCCATTTATTAACATTTCAACAAACAAGTTGCATATTTGCATAACGTATTCAAGTGTTAGCATTTAGTGCAATAGTAGCTACAGAACATGTGCTGTCTAAACTGTACTGTATCACATAGCGTTTCAGACACACAAACTTTTCAACTTTCAAACTCCCAGCGCACGTACCGGCAGTGATCTACAGCAGTGGTTTTCAACCAGTGGTACGGGGACAAACTGTCTCGCTCTCGTAATGTCTGTCTGTCTTGCTCTCGTTCTGTCTCTCGTACCATTCTCGGTTCCACTTTTACTTTTGCGCGACCTGTCTCACTCTTTTCCGGCCTCCAGTTTTTCCTGCTGGAGCCCGCCGCTTAAAGGTGGGGGTCCGCGGACCGGCCATAGAGCCCATAGAGTTAAAGGTGGTGGACTGTAACCT